TATGTCTGTCCTCGAAAGCATGGCTCCACAAGAATCCACTGGATAACCTGCGTACAGATGGCCGGTAGACCTGAGCGAATTCCAGACACAGAGCAAGCTGATACCTGTTGCTTGCCTGAACTATCTTACTGTACAACCTCATCGTAATAAATTCTCTTGTGAATTCCGGATGCCGTGACGGCTACGTAGCGTATAGTTTTTCTTCAAGTCTGTTCTTCAGTACCTTCGTAACGATCTTGTAGATGATTACTAACAAACTGATCAGCCTATGATTCTTCAAACACTCGCTGCCTCCTTTTATTGTCTAGCAGAATCACCGATGCGGTAGTCTACTGGTCTGGAAGTTTCAGTTCCTTCAGCCAGAGTGAAAACACACCAACTAACTTCGTCAACGCTTCTCCTCCTGAATCCATGCGTTCCATTATGATGCCCTCTTCGCCGGGAGCCTTTTTTCGTTTTAAAAGTTATATTTCGTTTTGCTTTCCTCCCTGAAAGATATCTGGAATTTTTTCAACTTAATCTGTATCGTCAATTTGCATATCGTCACCAATAGTGCTGCTGTTTTCACCTTATGCTTCATCTTTCATAACCGCTGTTATTGTCGGGTCACAGAGGCTGACGCGTCAGACAGTGTTTCCAACGTTCTCGATCCTGTGCCAGCGTAGCCACAAGGCAACCGGAGGCCAGAGAAGACTCTTTCCATATATTTAGACGAGGTTAATCTTGGTTGTCTTCTGGGCCTTCTGGTCGTCAGCTGGGCAAGAAATAGTTGCTTCGCCTTCTTTAATAGAACTGTTTTCATATTTGTGAAGTTTTCATAGCAATCGTCCCCTTTCCGGGTACTTTCTTGTTTATCTATGACGATAGCCTCGGCTTCTGCATTGAGAGCTATGGAGTGTGTTTTCTCGACCATTATTTTTTTCATTTACTTCTTCATGCTTCGGTTGTTCGCAGTAGTGTCCATTACAGTTAAATGCCCAGACGTACTCATTTATGTGTTTCCTTGAAGCTTCACAAGGCTCCACATATTCCGTCCTTGATTTATGTTCATTTGTTGTCTTTATTTCTCTTCATGTCCTCATTAGTTCATTGCCTCGCTTAGTGACTTTCCGGTCGACCTTTATAATCCTTGCTCAGGCGGTATTTTCCACCTACTCTGTAGCTGCTTTCTCCATTGGCATCCAATGCTTCTCCTGCTTCTTCTACTTGCGTTCCGTGAAGCATGTTGAATCGGCTGTTTAATTTCAGTGGGAATAGCAGAAGGCTCTCCCTGCTCAGCATTTTTATTCTTTCTACAGCTGAGTCCAGGCGTATTTTGTACCTGTTGAACCTGCCTTAATCCTATTCATTGATATCCTTCACCATTTTCAATGGTGAAACCAGTTTCGTTCCTGACCTGAGGTTGTTATGGCATTTTCACATGCATTTTGGTTTAGTTTTCTGAAAAAAAAACGTGTACAGAATTATTAACATGTTCTTTTCAGGTAACCTCATTAGTCATTGACCAATCTCCTTCCTTTCTCCGTAATCAAATCAGCCCATGGGGAATTCGCAACCTTGCTGCGATCTTATTTTTGCGTTGAAATCAACAATGAGGAACTTGTTGGGGTTCTTTTCATGTTCATGTACTTCCATTTCTTCGCAACATATTCAACCTCATCATCATGATGACTTAATGAGGCGGATATTCTCGATGCTGCGTAGCAATGAGTATTAATTTTTAATCCTCTAGAAACGTCACTCTCCACCATGCTCATAAATGATATTATATTTCGCCGTGACATCTCCGGTTATAGATACAGAAGGATGGGAGCCACCGTCTGCATTTGTCTCAAAAGAAAACAGGTGAAATCTTTTAACGGTATCGTCTGTCAAGGTTACTACTCGAGTCAAATAAACGTAAAATTTGAAAAATGTCTGACTGAGGAAATCAGGAAATGAGGGTAGAAGTTGTGTCCTTATTGTCATCTGGATGGTGATATGATTTATTCGCTTGAAATGCAACATAGCGTAGGAG